AGAGAACAGTGTCATGAGAACCTAGAATAGGCAATCAACTTATCAGTATAGAATATATCAATAATATAATCAAGTGTCAAGGAGCAGACGGTGAACAAGAGTATTGAAGGCTGAAGAATCAAGAAGGATGAGGTTCGAGAAAAGGCCATTCGATTGGGTGACTTGAAGATCCCTGGTAATGGCAGAGTAGTATTAGTTGAAAGAGGAGGTGGAAAACCAGATTGCATAAGGCTCAGGAGGGAGGGAGATGAGAGGAGTTTTTCCAGGTCCTCTGGTTCCATTCACAGTGAATAGAAGCAAAGGAGACGGATGGTAGTACTAATCCAGGGTCACACTTTGTCAAGGTGGGATCGTGCTGGGACAAGGGATTAAAGAGAGGGGTGGAATGGAGTGGGCCCACCAAGGGATAGATATAAGGATGGGAGGAGGGGGCAGCCAGTACAGAGGTGATGGCCTGGAAAAGAACTGAAGGGTGGAGGTCACTGTAAGGACAAAGCTTAGGGTTAGGAGTCGAAAGGCACCGGGAAAGATGAACCATTAAAAGATTATGGTCAGATAAAGGAACGTCAGGGTTTGTGAACCTCAGGGAATTGAAATATATGGGTGATAGCATTAGCATTTATTAAGGAAAAGGTACCGGGGTGATAATTAACAGCCACTAACATGTGGAGAGGGTGACAGATTAGGATGGCATGGGCCCCAAAGCAGGGAAGTTGACTCTAAGGGATGGTGACAGAGGGAGACCCTGGCAGTGACAAAGGGGAGAGAGGAGCATTTGAAATTCCAGCCCAGACCAGCGAGCTGGGGGCATGAGAAAAGCAGTAGGCAGTACTTGCTGAAAGAGAGGGAGCCAGGTCTCTGTGAGGGCGTGGGAGTTAGTCCAGCCACCTGGACAGAGGGAGGGTGGCAGTGGCCCTTTACTGACATGTTCCTCCCAATTCTCCAGCAGGTTTGGAAGGAACACGGGGCTGGGAGGCAGCCAAGGGTCACCCTAACCCATAACGGAATCCGGGCCTGTGCCAGCCTCTGGGTGGGAGCCTGGAACAGAAGTGGGGGCCGGCACGCCTAGAAGCTGGGCTGGTGTGTGTCAGCACAGCTGTCAGGAATCTACGTGTTATTTCTCTCTTGGTGATGAATATACCAGGATCTCCCAATGGGTGTTAAGTCCTGGGATGATGACACAGGATAACATGTAAGGGACTTTCTAATAGGGCTTATCCTCATCAGTTCACTGGCCTTGTGAGTGCAGTTTACTGAGTCACTCCCCAGCTGGTGGGTGGTGCTTTAGGTTGTGCTCAGGCCTCTGCCCAATAAATATGGCGCCCTCCATATTCTGAACAGCTCTTCTTTTCTGTTTTTCTTTTTTTTTAATTAATTATTTTGATTTATCAACAATCACTTCCATAAGCTTTTGAGTTTTAAATTTTTCTCCCCCTCCCCAAGATGGCGCGCAATCTGATATAGGCTCTACATATACATTCCTATTAAACATATTTTCACATTAGTGATGTTGTAAGTGAGAATTAGAACCAATAGGAGGAACCACCAGAAAGAGGAAACAAAACACAACAGAAAAAAAAAATAGCAAATAGTATGCTTCAATCTGCAGTCAGACTCCATAGTTCTTTCTTTGGATGTGGATAGCATTTTCCATCATGAGGCCTTTAGAGATCCTTGCATTGCTGAGAAGGGTTAAGTCTATCAATATTAGTGCCTAACTGATTATGTTATTCCTTTCTTGAGCCAAATCTGATGAGAGTAAGGTTCAAACGCTCATTTCCCTCCCTTCTTTCCCTCTGCTGCAATAGGTTGTTGTTCCTTTTCCTGTAATGTAATTTACCCTTGTCTGCCTCTTCTTTTCCTTTTCTCTCAATACATTTTCTTAGTTAGATCAGATTAACCACTTACTTGGATCCATTTAACTCACTTGATTAGATTTTTTTTTATCATTACATCAAAGTCAACTTATACCCACCCCCTTTATGTATACCCCTTTAACATGATGTAATAACAATAGAGTTCTCAAGAGTTATAAGTGTCATCTTCCCTTGTAGGGATGTAAACAGTTTGCCCTTATTAATAACATGTTGTTTCTTTCTGTCCTATTTACCTTTTTATGTCTCTCTCTTGAGTCTTGTATTTGAAGAACAAGTTTTCTTTTGAGCTCTGGTCTTTTTATCAGGAAGATTTGGAAATCCCCTATTTTGTTGAATAGCCATCTCCTCCCCTGAAAAACCATGCTTATTTTTGCTGGGTAGTTGATCCTTGGTTGTAATCCAAGCTCCTTTGCCTTCCGGAATATCATATTCCACGCCCTATGGTCTTTCATTGTAGAAGCTGCAAGGTCCTGTGTAATCCTGACTGTGGTTCCATGATATTTAAATTGTTTCTTTCTGGCTGCTTGCAGTATTTTCTCTTTGACCTGGTAATTTTGGAATTTGGCTACTATATTCTTTGGTGTTTTCAATTTGGAATCTTTCAGGAGGTGATCAGTGGATTCTTTCTATGGCTATTTTACCCTCTAGTTCTAGGACCTCGGGGCAGTTTTCCTTTATAATTTCCTAAAAGATACTGTCCAGGCTCTTTTTTCATCGTGATTTTCAGGTAGACCAATAATTTTTAAGTTGTCTCTCCTGGATCAGTTTTCCAAGTCAGTTGTTTTACCAATGAGGTATTTTACATTTTCATCTATTTTTTCATTATTTTGTTTTCATTTGACTGATTCTTGCTCTCTCATAGAGTCATTAGCTTCCATTTGCCCAATTCTAATTTTTAACAAATTGTTTTCTTCTATTAGATTTTGTACCTTCTTCCCCATTTGGCCAATTGTACTTTTTAGGGACTTGTTTTCTTCAGTGTACTTCTTTTCCAGTTGGCCAACTGTATTTTTTAAGGACTTGTTTTCTATGGTTAATTTTTGTCCTTCCTTTTCCAAGCAATTGACTCTGTCTTGCATACCTCTCATTTCTTTTCCCATTTCTTCTTCTCCCTCTCTCATTTGACTTTTAAAATCCTTCTCGAGTTCTTCCAAGAAGGCTTTTTGGGCTTCCGACCAGTTCATATTCCCTTTTGAGGTTCTGGATGTGGGTTTGTTGACAATGTTGTCCTCTTCAGAATTTCTGCCTTGATCTTCACTGTTCCCATAATATGAATCTATCATACGTTTCTTTTTGCTCATGGTGTTTGCTTATTTCCTGGCCTTTAAAGAGATTGAGCTCTCCTGCTGGGGAGCAGAGGGCACTGACCCAAGCTTCTTATGTTGGGAGCCCAGGGCCTGGTCACTGGCTTTGTGTGCTGGGGCCTCCAATGCTGGCATTTGGAGGCTGTAGAGTTGTGGCAGCTTACCTGGTGTTGAGCTGGAATCAGTAACACTGGAACTCTAGGGGTAGGATTGGGTAATGTGGCCCCTAGAGATTTCATTTTCTTCAGCGCCTTTCAGATGGATGTTGCAGGGTGTTTATCCACCTGGGGCCCCTTGGAGCGCTGCTTCCCCTAGTTTTGCTGAGGCACTGGGAGATCTGGTTGCTGTGGAATGCTGAGGCACCTGGTGGTTTTCCAAGCTGGTTTCCACCGGTTCCCGCCCTCACTGCGGTACTCAGGGATCCAGGTGTTGGTGTTTGCCTGCTCCACCACCTGGGTTTCAGGATCTCCTCCTGGTATGCTGAGGTGGGGCTTTCTTCTAGCTTGCTGGGATGCCTCTTCCCTTCCCCCAGGGCAAGAGGGGCCTTTCCTGTAATTTGCTCAAGCTACCTGGGCTACCAGACTGCTGCACTCTGTCTTTCTTCTGGTTCAGCTGTTGCCGGGTTTTTCCTAGGGCGATATTTCAGAGGTTAATCAAGCTCTTCTTATCTGATAGGGCCCTTCCTAGACTGCAAGCCCTCATCTCACTCTGCTCTCATCTACATGCCAACTGAGTCTCCCATTTCATTCCTCTGGTCCGAGAACACCAGCCCTGGGGGGGGAACAGTCCACTAACACCCCCCCCCCACCTTTGGTGATCAGAGGCCACCTTTCTTATCTGAAAAATGAGGGTAATCCCTGTGGTTTAGGAGCCTTGGACAGTTGTTGTGAAGCTCAAATGAGTGCTCTGTAAGTCATAAGGCAGTTAATGCCAATGACCATTCCTACCTTTCTCTAGGTGACTTTCCTTGGGTCACACATTTGTCTGGGACCCCGGACCTAGCACTGCCTCATTGGACAGAATTTTTCAGAGCTCTGGGGTCTTTGACAGCCAGCCCGACCTATCTGACTTTAAAGACGTCGCTAATGAGGGGTCGAGGGGTCCTAGCTTTCAGCCCTCCAGGGCCTGGGGTCTCAGGCAGCCCAGAGACCCAGGGCTCATTCTCAGAGGCTCATCCGCCAAGCTGGCTCGGTCCATCCAAAAGTACTGAAGCGCCTGTTTTATGCAGGCACTGTGCAAAAGTGATGCTTCTCTCCAAGTGGTCACCCAGCGCATTTTGTTAGAAAGACCTCCAGAGATGGGGAGCTCACTACCTCCAGAGACAGCCCTGCCCATTCCACCTGGAGGGCGTTAGCAAGTTTCTCCCCACACTTGGAGGGATGGATGCCCACGGGGGGGTTGGGGGGGTTGGGTGTGTGTGTGTGTGTGTGTGTGTGTCATTTTCCCCCTTCACTCTCATGACCCAACCCCGTCCTCGGTGCTCAGCATCCCTGGGCTCCCAGGGCTAGGTGCTCCGGGCCCCGCCCCCTCCGCTCCGGCCCCGCCCCCGCAGCTGCTGGCCCCGCCCCTTCAGCCGGAGCCGTCGATGTGGCGCGCGGGAGGGCGCGCCGGGGGCGGGGCCGGAAGCCGGGGGCGGGGCCAGGCCCGGGGGCGCGCGCCGAGGCAGCCAGTCAGGCTGCGGGAGCCGGGCGGAGGAGGCGGCACCGGAGGAGGCGGGGCCCCCGGAGCCCCGCCCCGGGCCCTCACGGGCTCTCCGTTGCGTCTTGGGTTTCTGCTGCCTCTGTCGCTGTCGCTGCCGCTGCCGCCGCGTCCGTCGCTGCCGCGGCCGCCGCTGCCGCCGCCCTATCCTGCCGAGGCCATGGCGGAGCCGAGCAAGCAGGACATCGCGGCCGTGTTCAGGCGTCTCCGCTCCGTGCCACCCAATAAGGTAACGGCCGCGCGGGCCCGGCGGGGTCGGGTCGGGGGGGGGGGGGGGGGGAAGTGCGCCTGCGCGGAGCCCAGTGAGGGCGGGGGAGCCGGAAGAGAAGTGTGAGTGCGCCTGCGTGGAACTGAGCCAAAGGGTGGGGGGGGAGGAAGGAGGAGTCTCCGCTGCCAGGGACACGTCGCACTGTGGAGCTGGGGGCCGGGACCCAGAGGCATCACCGCGGGGTGGGGGGGGAATCGGGAGACCCTTCCAGTCTCCCCTTGTCATTGTCTTTAGGGGACCACCTCACCCCACCCCCCATCTCCTGGGGGGGTCATTGGGGAGGGGCCCCCTGTCATTGCCCGTGGGGTCTGTCCCTCTTATCGCTGGGAGGGAGTCAGAGAGGAGGACCCTTCCCCCAGTTCCGCTTGTCATCGGCCTTAGGAGACCACCCAGCCTCGTCCTGACCCTGAAGGAGGGTCAGGGAGGGGAGAAACACTCCCCCCTCCACTCATCACCCCCC